CCGTTGCTCTAAGTGTCGTGGGCCTACCCCCGCTACTTGAGTGTTTTCCCCGCTGCAACCCGCAAAGTCACGGCCACAGGTAAGTACCGGCCCTGCGGGGCCTTTCAACCAACAAGTACCCTTGCGGGTCACACACACACTCAACTGACAAGCACTCAGACAGGCATGCAAACCAGCAGACACGCACACACACACACAGACTTGGAAACCATAGCAGAACGCGGGAATCTCAGCAAGGCATTCATTCCAGCGGGAAATCCCAAAAATCAGCAGTGTTCTCAGTCTGTGTTTTTGGCGGGTCATTACACTACCCCCCTCTCAAGAGCGAGGTCCCTTCGAGCGAGTAACTCATTCAGAGTCGACACAAAATGCATCGTAGGCGTAGATCAGAAAGAGAGATTTAGTAAGACCGTGAGGAGTGAGTTTTGCAGAAAACTTAGCAGTCTGTCCATCAGCGATTTGTCGTTCATAAGTGTTAACAACACGTGGAGCATTATTTAGCAGCTCTTTTTGGTCGATCCAGAAAAAATCGTTCAACAGGTGATAGAGGAAGTGAACCTTGTACTGTCTGTACCTCCCTCTTCCTTCATGGGAAATGATTCTGTCTATCTCGTGGCCGCCGTCGATAGGAAGAGGAATCATAGGATCTCGGAAGGGAAAAGTCTCGTCATCGACGTGTGGAAACAGTTTGGACGCGTGAAAGACTGGATATGTGCGCAGATGAGAAGGCACGTCAATCACATACAGAGGACCAAAATCATCCCCAATCACCTTTAGAACCTGCCAAGGGCCATGGTACAATTGAAGAAGCTTTCGTGATACGCCCTCTTCGTGAGAAAACTCAGACATTTTGACCCAGACATAACTCCCTGCTTTGAAGTTCCCTTCTTTGCGCGACTTGTTAGCATGTTTGATCATGGCATGCTGACGCTTGTTCATTGCTGCGATAGCAGCTTTGAGCAGGCATGCATTCTTGGCATTGTGGCCAGGCATGCCGGGCGTCAGACCAGGGGACCGTTCGGGGAACAAATAGGAGAGAGGATTGCGCAACTGCCAACCATATTGCAGTTGATTCGGTGTTACGCCAGTTGCAGAGTGAATGGAGTTGTTGTACAACCCCTTCACTTTGTGCAACTCCTTATCCCATGTGTTATGATCCGGAACACTTAACGCGTGCAGTAATTGAATGACCAGAAGTCTTGTTGAGTTTAATGTCGTAGATCTGCGAAGTGAAGTCCTTCCAATCAACACTGAAGAACCTGGTGTCCGCCGATCAGTCACAAGAGTTTTCGGGGGTCCATACTGCAGAATGTACTCCTGGTGTAATTCTTCGATCACTAGCTCAGTTGGTGCATGAAGAGGTAGAGGAATCATATTCATAAATTTGGAAAAACGATCCACAATGACCATGACTTGTGAATGTCCTCCCCCGCTCACCTTCCCCATGTCCCTGAAATCGATAGAGACCGACTCACCGGGCCCATCAGGAATTGGGAGGGGTTTCAACAGGCCATAAGGCTTATGCCTATGGACCTTGGTTCTTTGACAGACTTGACATTCAACAACAAATTTTTGAGCAGATCCCTTCATTCCCGGCCAATCAAACTGCTGCAAAAGACTTCCATAAGTCTTCTCAAAGCCGAAGTGTCCTCTCCGATTATGTGCCAAATGAAATGAGTCCGGAGAGACGCATGGTTGGGTACACACAAACAATTAAACTTCCCATACCGGCGCAATTTAAGACCCTCACACTCGTGAAAATCAGGCTGACTACTAGGGTCAGCCTTGAGCGAGCAGCCTTGAGCTGCTCAAGGATGGGACTAAGGTTCGGATCCTTGGTAGTGTGTTCGACCAGATCCTCCTTCAGTTTCCTTCGGAGGTCATATGAGTCCACAAGGCAAGTCAAAAACTCAAGATGGCGCGACAAAGCTTCAACAACACGGTTATAACAACCTGTCTTGTGTTTCAGTTGAAAGTTGTAAACATCAATGTCATGCATCCAGCGGGTCAACGTCGGAGAGAGATCAGTTTGTGTTTTAATCCACTTCAAGGTCTGATGATCTAAGTAGACCTTGAAGTGACGACCCAAGAGGTAGTGCGCGCAAGGCATAAAGCTCACATATATATGTGGAAATACCTACCTTGTGGCTGGGTATGCGTTTGCTGTAATATTCAAGCGGACGTAGGCCATCGCCATCATCTTGTTGCAACACTGCACCAATCCCATACTGGCTCGCGTCCGTAGTGACCACGAACGTGAGGTTGGGATCCGCAATGCGAAGCACAGGATGACTTACCAAAACCTCTTTCAAGGCTTGGAACGCAGTCTCACATTTCTCACACCACGCATAGGCAACATTCTTGCTTGTTAGTCTCGAGAGTGGGTGAGCAATGACAACAAATTTGGGCACAAACTTTCGGTAATACGAGGCTAAACCAAGAAAAGAACGTAGTTCGCGTACGTTTGTTGGTTGAGGCCATTTTCGTATGACCTCAACCTTGGTTGCCTCCGGCTCAAGGTCGTTTGCAGACAACCGGTGCCCAAGATAGATGATGCTATCCCTTCCAAACGTAGATTTCTCTAAGTTGAGGTGCAGCTGTGCCTCCTTGAGGACCTGGAAAACCTCCTCAAGGTGCTTGACGTGCTCTTCCATGGACTTGCTGAAAATCAGGATGTCATTGAGGTAAACAACAACAAACCTGTTAAGCTGATGGCGGAGGACCTTGTCCATGAGGCACTGGAACGTTGCTGGTGCATTCGTAAGACCGAAGGGTATAACGATGAATTCATACAACCCATCGCGTGTTTTGAATGCAGTTTTGTGTTGGTCACTCTGTTCAACTTCAATCTGGTGGTAGCCAGACTTGAGGTCGATCTTGGAGAAGACCTTGCACCCACCTGCAGCATCTAGTAGATTATCTATGAGCGACAAGGGATGAGCGTTCTTTCGGGTGATACAGTTTAGGCCACGATAGTCAATACACATTCGGAGTTTGCCTCCTTTCTTCGGTGCACCGAACTCAGACTCATTATGCCTAATCCATCCACGATCAATCATGTCATCAATTTGTCTCCTCAACTCCTCTAACTCGCCTTGTCCCATACGGTAGACGCAACCCTTTGGAGGACAATTCCCTTCTATTATCTCGATTTTGTGTTTGATCGGACGCTCGGGAACTCCACGAGGTTCAACCAGGGCTTTAGGAAATCGATCTAATAGACGACGAATGTTTGTTGGGACTTTCGGTGGAGGATCATCCTCATCAGGAGAGAGAAAATCAGATTGAGAATTTACAACAATCACAACCGGATTTGAAGTACTAGGATAAGAAGTAGACTGATTTTTTACAGTAGAAGTAGATGGAACAAAAGTAGAGGTAGTAGAAGTAGAATTACTATCGGAGGTAAAAAATGCAGCAAAAGTAGAAGGCACATGGAGAGGCTTTACAAGAGCTAAATGCACATGCTCAACTTCCTTGCACCTGCGCACTGATTTGCAGAATTTGGTTGCACTCAAAAAAATCACAGGGGACTCGCGTGTCTCGTCCAATAGAACGGTACGCTCGTTCCCCTTGGCATCACACACCACAAACTGATTATCCGCCCACGTGGTCCTTAGACAATGAGCCTTTAACCAACCGAAGCCAATGACCGCGTCGAAAGGACACTTGTCCATGACATAAAAGTTCAGCTCATGTGTGACAGTGCGATCCTTGTCAAAAGTGACGCGCACACCTTGTACAACATGTGTCTTGGTTTCCCACCTGGGTCTGACAAGGGTTCTGCAATTCCACTTGCTTCATTCCCAGGCCCGCCTTACGAATCTCGTTAGGAGAAAATAAGTTAGTCGTTGAGCCACTATCAATCAGCACGAGGATGCATCGACAGTTAATGAGCAACTTAAAGAAGGTCAGTTCCACACTCCCTTGAACACGGCGTTGCTGCTTGAGCTGTAGCCAATGTTCCAGGTAGTGGAAGTCAACTTCCTTACTCTCTTCCCAAGGCTCAGTGTAAAGTACTTGGAGTGCACCAGCCTTGGATTCAACATCAATTCGGGCTTCAAGAGCAAGCTGTTGATCAGATTCAGGCTCCTTGGAGGGGCTTGCAGCTGACTGTTCATCTTCCCTTGTTGTAGAGAGTGCTGATGACTCTTCTACACCCTTTGCCTGTTTCCCTGCAGACGATAACAATCCTGCACAGCGTGCCCAGGCTTTTGACAATGCAAGTATACGCGCAATTTGTATCTTCTCTCCCATTCCTTTTGACTGATGAGGAGGGTTTCCCAAGACTTGGTAGAAGCATCCTCCGGTTTCTCAAGGATCTTTGCATTTTTTGGGAGGTGTGCTATAGTCCCTTTACCCGAACCACGGTTAGGCCCGTTGCTTGTAGCAGTCTTTTTAAACGCATTACATTTTTCTTCAGTATTCATGTTAGACTCGAGGGCTGATGTAGAACAGCCCACGTCGGAGTCCGGCTCTAGATCGTCATCTAGAGACAAATCATCCGCATAGGACTGATCCTCAGCCTCCCGATGTTCATGCAAGGCAAGTTGGTTGCTGCTTCCGTACCGCTTGCGTTGCGAGGTCCTACCTGCAGCGGGTGCCTTTGCACGCCTGGCGAGGTCCTTGGCTTCTAGATTGACTAGATCCGTCAGTAGCTCTCGCCAAGTCGTATGATCTTTGAGTCCTAACCGGGAGACATATTCTTTAGGGGCCACTCCCATAACTGCATCCATGCAAGAAACGTCAGTCCATCCCAGGTTTGGAGTGGCGAACAGACCAGTAAGTGCTGCTCCAAAGCCTGCATGGAAGTCCTCCACGTTTGGCCCTTGAGGGCCTCAAGCTTCAGCCTTGCCTTGAGCGCAACGTGCTTATCTTGATATTGCGCGATGAGGAGGTCCTCAAGAGTACATACAAGAGTTACTTTCAGCCACTCAGTCAGATCAATTCTCTCATAACCTGCAGTAATAGCTTGGAGTTCTATGAAACTCCGTACGGCGGGCTCAATATTTGTGCCCATGATCATGCTTCGGTCTTCCTGCTTCGGTCTTCCTGCGGTGTTCGCAATACCTCGAAGTATGAGCGCATGGAGCTAATCCAATAGGTGATGTCCCCCTTCCCGTCGTACTTGGACGGCAGAGTGGCCGCCTTCTTGTCCACTACGGGACCGCTGTATTGTACGCCAGTAAGAACTGCGGCGTTTTGGGCTGATGTTCCTGCATTTGGAACTAGGACTAGTGTAGAACTGCCGGTGCTGCCGCTTGAGGAGCTGGCACCGGTTCCTGCGATCGTCACAGTTCCACTTGCTCTCGACATGAGGACTGTGTTAGGGTGAGAGACTGAGACTGCAACAGGACGAGGATTAGGAGGAAGGGGGGCAGACAGTTGGGACTGTTTGAGGTTGACTATCTCATCCTGCAGCTCTTGGTTCCGCTGCTCTAGAGCTGTCACACGGGACTGAAGATTTTCCAAGGTCCGCAGGGGAGCCAAGGCTGCTACGGCAGCAACTAGCTTCTCTTGGAACCGGTCATCATTCGATTCCGGAACCTCGAGGAGGGCCACTTGTTCAACAATACTTGTGGCTCTGGCTGCTGCCTCTGCCTCCCTCTCTCTGTGCATTGCGTCCTCGTAAAGTTTTAGAAAGAAAGGGTTCTCGTTCTCGGCCGCTGTGTCCAGCATGGCCTTCCATTGCTCGGACGTGCTGTCTGCCATGCCGAAGGATAGGGTGTCAGTAGATCTCTCAAGAGGGGTCTGCACTTTGCTCACTTTAGAACGAACACTCCTCTTACACTTCCTCACGCGCTAAAAAAAAACACCTTCTCTCTCCCTTCTCTCTCTTTCCGCTTTTTGCGCACACGTCTCAATACCGGACATAGATAGTTCAGATAAAAAAAAAAAAAAAAAACAGTAAATTACAAAGAGTAGAAGGTAGAACTCCTAGCCGGAGCGACAATTCATTTGGACTTAGAGAATGACATTCACGCAGCAGAAATAAATAAAAATGAAAGAGAGGACTAACTTGTCAAATGGGCCCGATCATATTAGTTGGAGATCCCCTCTTGTCTAACCTGACAAGGTACATGTATCACAATAAATCAGCCAAAGAAAACTAACTGCAGCAATGGAGATTTCGAGGGGTGCAGACGGTCGCCGAGCCAGACACGGGGCAGCATGTGAGAACATGCAGTAAGACCAGTCACGATCCCTTTGAAAGGAATGCCTTGATAGCCGTATGTCCCCCAAATTCAGCACAGCAGAGAGATGCATTGGTGGCAACAGATTTGGGCCCTAAAGGTCCTGTCCCGTTGGGCCTGGTCCCACTGAGTCGCGAAGGTCCCAAGTAGGTCGTGGACCAGGACCAACGGGATAGGTGTACCAAGTCAGTCCCAAACTGCCTCTATCGTACTGAAAAGGAAAAAACAACTTTCAGCAAGAACTTACCCCTACATCCATTCAGAAATGAAAAGACAATGCACCGTAGAAAGATATGTCATTGAGAACAAGATACATCATCCATCCATCCATCAGGTGAGAAAGCAATCCACATGCTCACACACACAACCAAAACCGCAGAGAAGAGGAAGAGAGCCCAACACACCCCAACAGGCCATGAAGCACCAAGCAACCTCCCACGGGCATAACCAGGTCACACGACACTTACCTGTGAGGCCCGTCCTCCAAAGATGGATAACGACTCACCCCCCTCTCTCATAAGTCCTCCTGACCCCTAGCTACCACTACATGAAGTGTCCTAGCATGACTAAGAGGGCCTCCCTACACCCCTGTTACAACGCCGGATCCCCCGTCGATGTCTGAAGACCAAAGTAGCAACTTGCAGCTCTCCGATGCAGATATGGCAGCCTCCGATCAAGTCTCCCTCTTGAGGGGAAGCCCAAAAGTCACTCAATGTCTTCTTGAAGTGCAGATTCCAGGTGCGAGTACCTCTCACTCTCTACTCCCTCTCGCTTACTCCAATCAGCCTCCTTTGTGTCTTGCCACCCCATCCAATCACACAAGCAACCTGGTCAGGTCTGATGTTGACCCTACATGACCTAACCAGGTGGGGGCAGTATCCACATACCTCACTGCCCCTCTTAACCCTAATTTCCCAACCCTAATCCAGGTCTAGGTTAGCCCTGACCTAATTCGGAATTAGGTTTAGGGTGACTAACACCTCTCGCCAGCAAGTAAGTCCGCTCCGATACCAATTGTTACGATCCTGGTCATTCCCAAAGTGCAAATTCACAATGCTACCCAATTGCGAAAGCAATGGAAGCACTTGCAAAGAGATAGAGACCAGAGAAGAGAAGAAGAAGAAGAAGAAGAAGAAGAAGAAGAAGAAGAAGAAGATGTACACCAGCAAGACCAATGACAAATCCCCCCTTCTCTCTCCACCTTCCTCCTCCTCCTTCACTTCGCCAATCTTATTCTTCTCCCAATAATAATAATAACAATGAGTGGATGAACCAGAATCAATATCCGAAGTTCCCTCTTACTGCTGACACAACAACAACAACAACCCTGCCCTCCTGTCCAAAGGACAACCCAAAGCAGCTATGCCGCTGCTGACTGATCCGCCATGCTTGACTCTGCCTCGAGCTTCCTTGGTGCGGCACTMCCCCAACTGGGGCCTTCCAGATGCAGCGCCCAACAAGGTGATGAAGATGGTGTCCACCATAGCCAGGTAGGTGCCTCGCCACTCTCCTCCTTCACCCCCTTCTTCCTCCTCCTCAGGCTGGGCTGCTCGCCATAGCCAGGCTGAGCGCCCAGCTGCCCTTCACCTCCAGGCAGCGCTGTACCAGTCCAGCGCTGTGCTCTAGCAGCATGTCACCAATCCTTGCATACCGGAAATGAGGAGGAGCTACTTGCTCCTCCGGAAGATATAGCGGCCTACTGGCCTCTTGGGCGGTGACTTCCTAGGCCGAGCGGCCTCCCAGCAACCGGTACCTCCTCCCTTTCGGAGGGAAACATCATTGCAGGCTCTGCTATCGTCCGGACAGGCCCTAGACACGGGCTACTTGGACTGGTACTGGCCTACCTCGAGCCTACTGCCACTGGGCCTCTAAAAATGCCAACTTTTTGTCTTCTTCTGCTCGGCCTCCAGTACTCGACACTCCTACCACTACTTGAGTGGTACCAGCCTACCTGCTACTTGAGTGTTTTTCCCCACTGCTCTAAGTGTCCCGGGCCTACCCCCGCTAGAGTGTTTTCCCCGCTGCAACCCTCAAAGTCACGGCCACAGGTAAGTACCGGCCCTGCAGGGCCTTTCAACCAACAAGTACCCTTGCGGGTCACACACACACTCAGCCGACAAGCACTCAGACAGGCATGCAAACCAGCAGGCACGCACACACCCACAAACTTGGAAACCATAGCAAAATGCGGGAATCTCAGCAAGGCATTCATTCCAGCGGCAAATCCCAGAAATCAGCAGTGTTCTCAGTCTGTGTTTTTGCCAGGTCATTTCAACTTTTTTTTTTTTTGGGGTTATCAGCATGTGTATCGTCTTGGGCCTTGATGTGCATGTCGAGAGTGGAACGAGGCCCTTTTGGCCTTGATGTGCATGTCGAGAGTGGAGCGAGGCCCCCTATGTTTGTTAGTGGAGGCAGCAGCATCCGTTGGGCCTTCGCTCCAGCGCTCACCAAATGTGCAAAATGAGAATGAATCTTGCACTGGAACATGGGAAGGTACACAACTGTTTACCCCTGCTCATGGCCCCCGTCGCAGCCGCGGCGGGCATCTGCTTGTACTACTAAAGGAAACAACGGTCCTCGCGTGGGTCGCAACATAAACCGGGCGGCGCCGCGTGAGACCGGTGACAGGCTGCGGGTAAGGGGGAAGTGGTGGAAGCCGGGGCAAGGGGCGGAAAAATCCTGGTGCCCGCGGGCAGGCGAGGAGTTGCTCCAACTGCGGACAAACCGGGTCGTCTTCTGCTCGCATGGAGCGGGATTTGTTGGGATGTCGAGGATTGAGTCGAGCGGGGCTTGAAGCGGGGTTGAAGCGACATGGCGGGTGGGGCGAAGCCGGAAGTAGCTTTGCACGAATTGACTACCGGTGAGGCGACGGGCGGGGCGGTGTCCTTTCGGGCGGGGCGGCGTCCTTTCGTGCTAAACCGATCTAGTATCACCATAACTTGACTTTTGCCATTTCTGCTGTTTACTTTAGTGTCCATAAAGTCTATAGACACGGAGTCCTTGGGTCCCGACGGAATAGGTAGCGGTCTGAGTAATCGAAGGGGAGACTGTGTGGAACTCTTGTTCCTTTGGCATACCTGACAGCCTTGTACATAGGAAATGCAGTTATGCCTCATTCGTGGCCAAGTGTAGGAGCGTAGGAGGTTAGCATAAGTCTTCCTCCACCCGAAGTGCCCCTCAGTATCGTGATTCTTCCGGAGTATTATGCTACAAATTTCCTCGCTGTTCGGAACACATAGTCGGTCATGGGCATCTGTTTTTTCAAACAGCAGTCCCTGTGCTACCCTATAGTCCGGGAGTTCGTGAGGTGCTGTCTGCACCTTGCCAATCAACTGGCTATAGACTGTATCACTCTTGTAGCCAGACTTAATCTTCTGCTTCAGTTCGGCGCTTGCATCTAGATATGTAACAATCACACCGAAAAAGTCAGCTCTTCCACTCAATGCGTCAGCGACAACATTGTACTTCCCCTTTACTGGCTTCAGTTCAAAGTCAAACTGACCAATCTCCCCAGTCAGTTTAGGTGTTATCCGAGCTTGAGTTCTTAGCCAGCAAAGTGTTTCATGATCCGAGTAAACTTCAAAGTGGCCTCCTAGCAGATAATGTCGCCAGTGATTCAACGCTTCCGTAGAGCGAACAACTCCCTCTCATAGGTCGAAGCGGCGACCTTTTCACTAGGCAATCTACAGGACAAACTCTACAGGCCTATACCCATTCCCATCGTCTTGTTGGAGTATAGCATCAATCCCATATTGAATGGCATCAGTGGTTACGACAAAAGGCAGAGATGGGTTTGCAACTTTCAACACCGGGTAGTTAATCAGACATTTCTTTAGACGCCTGAAGGACGCAGTACAATCCTGATCCCATTTTCAAATAGTTCTTTCTTTAACAATTTGCGCAATCGGGCAGCGATTACCGTAAAGTTCCAAATGAACTTGCGGTAATAATTGGCCAGACCAAGAAACGAGCGCTGTTCCGTCAACGTGTGCGGGTTAGGCCAAAATCTCTAATGGCTGCAATCTTAGTGTCTTCTGGTTTAATCCCATCACCATCTACCATTTGTCCCAAGTAAATGACCTGACACTTTGCCCAATCACACTTCTTCGGGTTAATCTTAAATTTCGCCTCCCACAA